GGTACAACATCAAGTAACAATTTGATCAGTCCATATTAACACTCATCAGGTGGTACAACATTAAGTAACAATTTGATCAGTCCATATTAACACTCATCAGGTGGTACAACATCAAGTAACAATTTGATCAGTCCATATTAACACTCATCAGGTGGTACAACATTTTTGATGTTATACAATCACAAAAGTGATAAAAACGCCATGACGCCACTTTTAACGATCTAATCTCAAAAAAGGGGCAGATGCTATGATGTCACTTTTAATGATTTAATCTCGAATATATTTCAAACGCTATAACGTTATTTTTGACTAATCTTAAAAAAGGGATAGGCCCTATGACGTAACTTTTAACTATGTAATTAAGAGTTGTTGCTAACGTTATGACGTCACTTTTTATGCAACTTTTTTTGATACATTCTGCAAACTTCTAAATCCTCAAATTTTAACTTCAACGTCACATCCGCATTACGAGATGGTTTTTTTCTTTGACCAAGAAAAAATGAATATGGCTGCTTATTAGAAGTAATATACAATTAAATCACCAAACATTTTGTCAGAAAATATTGTTAACTGTCCAGAACATTAATCAAAGCAGTAATAACGCTTAGTTCTAAAAATCAGATAGTTATGTTCATATGAATTAACTAAAATTCCAGAGGGCGACACTGGGAGCAACAGTAAAAGAGGCAGCAACCACCGAAAGACAAATAACAGTTACGTTACAAAATGGGACTAAATCTAATAAGTACTTACTTAACAAGATTTGGGAATGTTTAATTATGGCAAATAAATACTAGTTATTTTAACTCCGGCCTCTTACTTTGCCCCATCTTCCTTTCTTCCACCGAAATACACACGCTTTTTCAAAACATAGACGGGTTTCAGGTTCGGGCTTCCGCTTCTCACAGTGAAAATCACCAACTATCTCGTTACCATGGAAACAATGGGAATGACGAATCTGTTTACCTTGGCCACAAACGGAAGAACACTAGAAACGGAAATAGTACGTTGCTAAGATAAAAGCTTTTAACTACGACACATTCATTAACTGTTAGTACAATCAAAATTCATACTCTAACCCCGAACTAACGGACGTTGAAATCTGGTTTGCAGGAAAAGAACAGATTTTGTCCAACCAACAGTAAAATTCTGCCTATCAACCACGTAGGAAAAGTTCTGTAGTAAACGTGTGGAAATTTCTATTGCTAAGTTGATAGATTAGATCCCCCTCCCCAATAGCACCTCGTAGTATTTGTAACATCAAAAATTATATGCAAATTATATATTAATATATATATATATATCCATGCACTTATATATATTAATTCAATTAAGTTTACGGGCTTATAACATCAAAATCCGAGGTATGGTTAGCCGCAGGTGAACCGAGTTTAGATTGTCCAATGTGTTTCTTTGTCATAAAACAAACCCCGTGGGCATCAACTTCTGAAAAATGTTCATGCCAGCGTATAGACGGAAATTATTGGTTAGATGAAATCAGTACAATTGTCATAAAGAACTAAAAATGTTACTATTCAGACGCTAAGACTGTTACTATTCAGATACTAAGACGGTTAAAATTGATATTTTATATCCACCAAAACGTTCATTATAATTCACAATCCTTAAGCCTAAACATATTAATCTTGTGTCGGTCTTATTCCCCCCTTAATGTGGGGACGGGGCGTCTCGTGGTCCATTTAAATCTAACGTTCACTACACTGAGGTCTCCTAGACCACAGTCCTTCTTAATTCATTCCTTCCATCTCTGTCCGCCGCCTGTTTTTCACTTTCCTCTTGGCTGCCCATTTCACCAAACTGTTCCCACAAATCCTTTGCACATGGCCATACGACCTCAATCTTACTTCCTACACCTTCTCTCCGATGATACAAACCTTCACCTTTCTGGGCTTGGCTTGTGATCTTTCAAAGTCACACCTCTAATGCATCTCAATCATCTTATTTCTGTCACTTCCAACCTATTCAGGTGACACTCCCTCAGTGCCAAGGTCTCTGCGCCAAATAGCAGGGCCGGCCTTACCATGGTAACTGCACTTATCCAAGTTTTAGCAGCCACGTATTCACAAGATGAGATTAATGTTGTGTCTATCGCTCAGCTAAAATTTATACTTACAACAGAGGGCGCCACTAACACAACTCCCACATAATTCCTGATATACTAATTTTTAACTCAATAATGCCAATGTTTATTTAATTAATATATGTTAATTGAGACATTTTCACGTATTCTATGATAAAAACATTCCCCCCTAAAAATTGTTTGTAATATAATAAAAACATCCCCCCCCTAAAAATTGTTTGTAATATAATAAAAACATCCCCCCCCTAAAAATTGTTTGTAATATAATCCTAAATTCCGAATGAAAATTTCCACATTTGAAAATCACGCGAGGGAGAGGACGAGAAACACACAGTAGTAACCATAAAATAATCGGTGCTTTTTATTGTTTTTCAGAATCTGTAGAATTGGAGGGATTTAAACATTTTGGCAATTAATTTAGAATAAAACGAAAACACCTTTACTATCCAGATAAAAATAGAAAAACTTTTTATTTCAACCAACGTTTCGACATTGTGGTTTCATCGGGATAGTAGCACAAGAACCTGTTTTTTTTTCTTTTTTTTATACCGTTCACTACCGGTAGGGGTCCATATGCTGTATATGGAAGAATTACGTGTCAACAGTCAATGTAAAGTACATAAGGGACCCAGGGGGATTAATTTAACAATGATTGTACTCGTGGTATTAAGTAGCCTGAAACTAATAAAGAAATGGACCCACGAGCAATTTGGTTTATAAGTAACAGGAAAAAATGTGTTTAAAAACCAATAAGGTCATACGAACCCAACTAGTAATTCTAGGGTTAAATGTTGAGAATACTAGCCAATGACCAGATAAGCTGGATGACTCGATCAGCTAGATAACTAAGAATTTGGACAAACTACTGGTGTCAATTAAGATATTAAATCGAATGACAGATTGGGCCTAAGATTTATTGTATACTATTTTAAACAGTTTGTATCGCTAAATATAATCACAATAAGAAATTAGTAGCATCCATGTTGCATGTTTTTGAAATACCTATATAAATATAGGTTTAGTGTGTGAATACATCTGAAATCACCATACACGTAATATACACTCCACCAATATATGAAGTCCACTCTTATTATTTTGATTTGCACTTGCCTCAATGATTCGTATGCGCGTATTTTTTATTTTCTAAGTAAAAATGAAACATTTTATTTTGGGTGAAATGTAAAAGAAAAAATAAACTAAACGATAATTAGAACTATAACCAATTATAAAAAAAAAGAAAAAAAATTCTACTCGGTTTGTAAAACCAGTTTTTTTTTTAACATTTCTGATAGTGTTTAGGTTTTAAAGAATCTATACACGTGACCTTAAGCATAAAAGCTGAAATAATCCACATTGTTTTTCTCTTCGTGTGATAAATTATCAGCGATTTATCGATTTAAGTTAAACCACATAACTGTAATAAATACGTTAACAAACACTTAAAATAAAACATCTTACCCGTGACCATTCAGTCCAAACCCAATGTGCACAGTCAGGCTGTTTGCAGTCCCTCACGTCTGCTGGGGGGTGATCCTCACAAAGGTCCCTAGAAACAAGCTTCTGGGATTCATCAAGACACACGACTTCTCTGTGTTGCGTACCTTGACCACAGGATACCGAACACTAGAAAAACAACTAGATTATTACTGTGTTGTGTCCCTTAATCACAATACATTGAACACTAGAAAAACAACTAGATTATTACTGTGTTGTGTCCCTTAATCCCAAGACATTGAACACTACAAAAACAACTAGATTATTA